AATGCATGGTGTCTTGTACTCATGGTTCAATGCCGGGTCAAAGACAATCACTTCAAAAGGCCCAGACAGGTGCTGTAGCTTGGCCAGCGGATCTGTAGGATCAATGAGTGGCAGCAGGAGAGCACATGGCTCCTTCGGCTGAACCTCCTTCGCACTCTGCAGGTTTCCCTTTGACACAAACGCAATCCCACCCCTGTTGGTGGACAGCTGTTGCTTCTGAACAAAGGGCACAGGGGTCTTGTCTTTGACAACGAATGGATGATCCGCCTGCAACTGGAGGTCCTCCCACTTACTCTGCTTAACCTGCTTCTTTTTGCTTTTCCAGGGGTCATCAATCTGCCATGGATCAACTGCCTGCATTGGTGAATCAGCAGAAGCGGCTCCTTCCATTCCACCAAGAGAAACAGCCGAACACGGCTGGAGGTAGCTAATACCACCAACGAGCAAAAAGAGCCGCCTGAGATTGGCTGCAAAGGTCCTCAACATTGGTGGCGCACCTGCTGTTCTCCATGCTTGATCTGACTCATCAAGAATGAGATCAAAAAACTGCCGCTTTTGCTGTGGAATATGGAAGGCATCAGGGAGAGCCAAATCAGCAATAATCCACCTGTGCAGCAATTCCCATCCACACATGCCTGGTCGAGTACGGTTGGTGTCAATGATAATGATCGGCCGAAATCCAAGAGGTACAACATAGTCGGTGGCAAAGTTTTGCCAAAACTGCTGGTCTCGAGGAGGAACCTGCAGAAAGACTGCACGGCATGTATGCTCTTGGGAATTGCAGACGACCTCAATGCCTACCCAATGCCCTTCTCGCAATGCAACAAAACGCTGTACCTCCAAACAGTTGGAATGGCCCCAGAGGCAATCAAGGACAAGTCATGATGTAGCACTGGGGGGCAAAAGGAATCTGGCAGGAAGAACGCCAAGGCAAACTCGATCTCATCACTGGTGGCCCACCCGGGATGGGTCCTGCAGATGTTCACTCTCTGCTCAAGCCAGTCATCCGCCACGAAGAAGATCTCCCTGATATCATACGAGTGGAGGGCCCTCCCTGTAGCTCTAAGGATAAGATCAGCAGCTCGACTTGGGGAGTCCATGACTGCTACAAGAAAGGCATTCCTGCTAGCCCTAGCAAATTGCAGCATTCTGTCATCGGTTCGAATTTCCCGCCAGACAAAGTCAGCTTGGTCGATCACCTGCATGACATGTTCTGTGAACTGAGTACGTTGAAGCCGTTGCATACTTCGATGGGTCACTGGTAGCAAAGGTGCACCAGCCCTGGCATAGAAGGTTCTCAACGTATGCCACGCATACAACTCAGAATCTTCAGTGGTTCGGATCCACCTGTAGGCATTGGGTAGCACATGGATTCCCATCACATTGATCAGTTCAAGAACCGCGTTCATTTGCCGAATCGTCAATTGCTCTGGAGAATGATACAGAACACGCCATTGTGCCTCAAAAAACCGGACCTCCACGAAAATCCAGTCAAAGACCACGAGTATGGGCACCACGAAATGCTGAAAACTCATCTGCAAATCAGCAGGTTCATGCGGGAAGCGGAACTGGGACTCATTGTTGACCCAGAGTGCTGGAGGACACCAACAAATGGAGGGCATCAACACTTGGAGAATATCGAAATGAAAGACAATCTCATCAATGGCCAACGCCCCCGGCTCCAAGTTGATCTGGAGTAGCCGAGCGACAACCTCGTCATTCTGAATGTTGCAACTTGGTTGGTCAGCGAGGCGATCCATGCCCCCGAAGAGGATGGGAACAACATCTCGCACACGAGTATCACACCACAGGATATCACCATTAATCAGCATCAACGGCTGATCCTGACGACACTCCACCAGGTTCCGCATGGTGACATGACATTGCTGCTCCAACAAAGCATCACACTGCTGAGGGGTCACTGTTCGAGGCACTTGACAAATCTTGCACCAATTGAGTTCATGATCACCAGCAAGGAGGACCCATTTACTTGAACTCACCGGCTGGTAGGATCCCTTAATGGCCATCACCACATGTACTCCCAGCAGGCTACGGCAAGCATCATGATTGACTTTGAAGAAGTGTAGCATTTGGTCCTGAGTTTGAAACATTGGGATGCCAAGACGATCAAGGTTGGCGTCGTGGATCCACTCAAATGTCCCATCCTGTTGGACCAAAAGGATCTTGGCCTTCTGTCGAGGCTCCTCATCTTGACATACATATTCTGCCACATGAAAGAATCCAGCTTGGTGAAGGTCTCTCAGACTGTCCAGCTGAGGGTCATGCTCTTCGATGCACCACGGTTGGGTTGGCGACACAATTGGATCCCGATCGGCGGGGCGGCAATCAGTATGAATAATTTGAAGGGAACACAGGGCAAACCCTCCAAGTTTCACTGTGATATCTCCTGCAGGAAGGTGAGCCCAAGCAGGGTTGGGTGGCAAGGTTGTCCCATCAAATACCAGCTGAATAAGAGCTGCATGGTGTTCGGCTAGATCAAGCACTGCCAACAACTTGTCCACAACCCGAACATCAGCATGGACATTAAGTGGAATGAGCGAAAGATCATCACAGAATCTCACCATGGTATGGCCAACCAGCCATGGCTGCCAAGTGACAATACTTGGAATCGCCTTGGCAATGAAATCCGCAAACGGCTGTAGCACCAACATGTCATCACAGACCCGAATCATGGCTCTGTCCACCGTAAGACGGTCTTCCCAACATTGCAGGATCAGTTGCATCTTGTTGATCATACCACCTTCAACCCCTTCAAGGCCAAAAAGCAAGGCCGCCAGCCCATGAATCTGTGAAATGGCATTGCCAAGTTGATGAAAGGCAAGCTTTGTGTCAACTGGAAGTGCAATCGAATCCGTCGTTCCAACCAAATAGCACAACAAAGACAAACGGATCAATGAAACAGAACTCATCATCCCTCTGTGTGAGAGTGGCGAAAATGCCTTTCGACTCAATATGCTCTCTTTGGAGGTGGTGTTGCACCGTGTAGGATGCACACAGTGTGGGAAGATATTCACCGCTGTGCGCAAGCCTCTGGACAAGGACCCGATGATCATCTGCTCCTTCAACCACACGAGCCTTTTTGGCTGGCGGCAGCAAGTCACGACTCCCATAGATTGCCATTTGATCAGTGGTCAGTTTAAGACCCTCACAGAGTGTCTTGGGAAGGGCAAACAGGTGCTTGCCGTCATTCCATGGAAGTCTTCGGTTTGCAGCACAAAGTAACCTCTCTTGTGATGGCTGGTACTTAACATCCTTCCGGCACCACGCAGACAACCAGCGTGTACGATGATTGCCAGTCAGCTGGTGAATAGCAAGATCTTGCGACCAAATTTTCCGATAGCCTGCGAGCTGTAACGCCGCAGAAAGTGCCCTCCAGTGGGGGTGAGCTTCAAGACCATCAGAACACTCGAACAAAGCAAGGATTGGTCGAACCTTCGCCAAGTGCTCAATGGAGTCCAAGAAACAGAACCCTTCATCGTTGGCCAGCCCGGAATGCTTCCCTCCTCTACTCCAGCTTGGACAAGGAGGGGAAAGCGTCATCATGAGGTTCAGCTTATGTGAAGTCGCTCTGAGAAGAGTCCGATCACTAACGTCCGCTAGTATGCCATTGAACACTTCTGTTGAGTCGAACGCCACAGGAATGGGACACTTAAGGTGATCACGTCCATGGTTGAAGGACCAGGTCTTCATCACCTCAGGGCACCAATCTACCGAGGTGTGGGATGCAAAGGCATGCCCCAAATTGGCTTGCTGAAGCCACCACATAGCACGAAGCCAGCCTTCATATGCTCCAGAAAATATGTGGGATACATTCCATGCAAAATGCTTGTCAAGGCGAGAAACATTCCACAACGGCATGGTGTCATCCGCCCACACCTGACAGTTGGCCACCCGTTGGTGTGGTTGCACCAAAGCTCCAACCCACATCCCTGCAGAAAGGTCAACACGCTCATGCACAACAGGGCAAATGATCTGAAAGGTTGCCCATTCCTCATGGTCAGCAACCGGGGCCAAGAGCATGGAGGTGCGCTTCACGTCAATCCGAAGTGGAGGACCCACAGTCGAATCAACAACCTCACCAAATAAGATCCAGTCATCCTGCTCCCCTCTGCACATCCCAGAAGTTGCAATACCCTTCAGAGCACACCGCACAGTATCAGCGAGAGTGGAAGGCATGCCCACAGTAGCCCACTGGATCAGACCATCGCTTGCATGGTGGCCAGCTTCGATCTTCGTGTCCATCTTCGGCATGCAATCCCTGGACAGGTGAATCCAGGGTCTGTAGACGCGCCACACCTTGTCCAAGGGAAAGGCTGCAGCGCCCCGGCCCTTGCGAGAAGGCGTGAGGCAAATGGTTTTGAGCCAAGATGCCTTGGGGGGAGCTTCCTTGAAGAAGCGCTCGCGCGCGCTAACGATTTGGTTATTAGATTTCTAGGGAAACAAGCAAAGCAGCCTGAAAGAGCAGTCACACGAGGAAATCTACCAATTTATTATGGGCCTTTTCTTGGGCCAACAATTTTGGAAGTACAAATTCCGAAACAAATTCAGGCATACACAGTGGCTGAAGCTTATATAATCATATTTATGACTATTTGTGGTATTGCGACCTTCCGTTCACAACTGATGCAAGCTCTTCAAACATGGCTGCTCAAGAATAATCTCAATGTCCGTAGCTAGGAAGGCCCGGGCAGCTCTTTGTATGTATGTATATATATATGTGTGTGTGTGTAAACGTGTATATAGTTGATTATAACTATAACTTAAACCTTGTGTGTTTGGGCAATGATTGGTTGGTTGGCGCTTGGGTTTCCTTGCGTTCTTGCTCGGGATGCAGCCAAACATGCATGGCTTGTACAATCCGTCAAGTGTTCCGGACGTCAAGTCCATAGTAGTGTTGCATGAGGCTTGGTCATTGCAATTTTTTGACAACCTCAAAGCAGCTTTGCAATCCCTACGAAACTGACCACATCCGACGAGTCCTCGTGGACTAAGGTTGCGAAGCATCCAAGGTGTTGCCGACAAGCCCGTTGCCCTCTGATCAGGACATGCTTGAAATGACAGTTGAACCGTATTGATGATCCTTTCCATAAATGCAGGATGCACACAATTTTTTGAACATGTCTTTTGGCAGTATCTGGATGATCTTGCAAACAAGCAGCGTGCACAGCATTCCGTACCTTTCACGACCAAGTCTCTTGGATCTCTTGGTGTCTGCACTTGGCTCTTGCAAGCACAACTGCTGCGCTCTTAGTCTAGGCCCCATGCCCGACAATGAAGTTTCGCACCTGGCTTTGTCGGAAACTTTTGCTGTCTTTTTCTACTTGGCATGAAAGCTACATGTGCTTTTGTGGAATAGTGAGCCAAGGGACCTGTGTCACAGACCATTTCAAATGATCTCGAATCCAGGCCTGAAGCTTGTTCAGCTGATCTTCATCAAAAGCAATCAACAGCTAAAGGACGTTGCACAGCTGTCAGCATCGCCTGGACGACGTCACTCAGGTTCTTGCCCTCCAAGAACCTGGCTTGATAAATGATAAATGCAGTTGTAGCAGCAAGTGTCTCCGAGAAAGCAGGAGCAATTGTCCCAATGCTAATCGGAAATGATTGCCGTCTCCCGTCTCCAATGTCAAAGCAAAAGTAAGAGCAGCAGCAGTAGTGAGGCATGCTTCGATCATGTCGCAGTGGTTAGAAGATGTTCCAATGTTAGAAGTAGCCGTTGCCGCTTTAGCAGCAGTTGATGCAATAGCCACCATTGTAGGTGATCGTGGTCAGTACCATGGGTTTTGCAGCGTGAGTAGTTGCGCCAACTGTAGCAGTAGTAGTCCTGATCGTAGTAGTCCTAAATCGTAGTAGCTGAGTTATCTCCAACGACTGAGTTAGCCATGGGACGGTAGAGATAGTAGAGGCAGCACCTTTTGACCGATGCACCCGATGCACAGCCTATCTCAATAGCAATCAATTACACTCAAAAATGCCACAGAGATATGAGTAAAGCCCCAGCCCTCAACAAAGCCACGTTGAGTGATTGACGTTGCATTGTCACACTTGGACATTCCCCGTTTTTAACCAACATCAAAGCAACAAGAAGGCTCCTGCCGAGTGGCATCTGCAAAGTTGTTATAGTGACAAGCTTCCTCAAAGCCTGCCAATGCAAACGGACATTCGAGAACATCTCATGTCTTCAAGTATGCAGAATTGTACCAACATGAACCACAGCCGCAATGCGCCCTAGTTCTTCTTGTATTGTCAAACATTTACAATACTTACAAGTCAGTCTCCGCCCCTTGGGCCCTAATCGTTGGACATTCCTGGCTGTTAGCTCTGGGTAGAACATTGGTGGCCTCAACGCCGGTAGTGCGAAAACTCTTGCAAAAAGCATTCCAAGAATAGTTATATAATCCCTACCCTATCCTGAGGGGGGGCGTCGAAAATTGTAAGTTACATTTTCCTGCGCGCAGGGCCTCAAAAAATATAATTACATTAACTTTGAGGTGGCCTCAAAAAAGGTAACTTACATTTTTGAGGCCTCATGGGTGATTTCCTGGGGAATGACCTCAAAAATGTAACTTACATTTTTGAGGCACAGAGGAGCGCTTACAATTTTAGACCCCCCCCATCCCCACACTAATTTCTGCTCACGACCACGTCCCGCATGGTCAAATGCGGCATTTCAAGGAAATGCCTGCCGAAACATGTCAGCCGTCAGCCATCAAGTTGAATGATGCTGCCCGCGGCCGGCTGCATCATTAGCATTTTTTGAACTGAAAAAACAAATATATAAAATATATATGTTGTTTTGTTACAATTCTTTTTGGCCGGGGGGTCTTCCATACACAACTCCATACACAACTCCTTCTGCAGCAACAAGCCACACAAAAACAAAGCAAATGAGGGAACAGCAGTGGGTCTGAGTCATCATCAACAAAGAAGAACAGGAAGCACACCCAAAGCAAACTGCCAAGAAACAGGAACATACATGTTCCCACTGAAGACCCCAAAGGAAGGCAACAAAGCGAAACCCAAACATAACAGACGATCACACTCCATACATAATAAGCAATAATGGAGAACAATAAAGGAGAGGCTGCCTGTTCTATTGGGCAGGAGAACAAGGATATTCAACGCCGTTTGATCCCCTGGTTTCTTGCCCCCTGCGTGCGGTTCGTGTGGTCGGACGTGTGTGCTTTTCAGTATGCTAAAATGTAAGTACCTCAGGGGGACACCACAGTTCCTTGTAAATTCTGGGGAGTTGGGCATGTGGCCAAAATGTAAGTTACAATTTGTGAGGTCAAACTTTCTCACAGAACCCATGTATTCCCTGTAAAATCTGAGGGTTTGGATGCGTGGACTAATTGTAAGTTACAATTTTTGACGTCTGCAAATCTCACCTTTCGCCTGTGTCCTGGTCCTGCATTTTTGGAGGCTATGTTTTCCTTGGTGTTGAGGCATCAGCAAACAGTTGCCAAATAATACTTTTAGTTAATTACTTATTTAGAAAATATTTCATTAAGTGACTCCCACCCGCAAATAATTTCTTAGTGATTGGCGTATCTTCGATCTGCCAACGCACCCTAGGGGGGGGAGTTAAAAAAATGTAAGTTCAGGCCTCCCAAGTCCCAAGTTACATTTTCCAGACCCCCCCCCTCCCCTCGATCTGACGACCCCCCCAGGGGGGGGGTTGGAAAAATGTAAGTAAGCACGTCCCAGGCAACAAGTTACATTTTTTTGCCCCCCCCTCCCCCCCCTTGACTAGTTTCGATGGTGCCTGGGGGGGGTAACTTATATTTTTTGACCCCCTAGGGGGGTACCCTAAAATGTAACTTACTTTTTTGAGGTCCCCCCTCCCGGAAGTAGCTCAAGGGGGTAGGGATGTTACATACCAAAGAACCTACCTACCGCCGGCATCACACAAAGAATGCAGTAAACTCCCCTCGAATGAAGCGCTCAAACGCCCCGTGTGGCTGCACAATCAAGCAACTTGTCGTCAAGCCCTCTCACTCTGAGATCAAAGGAATGGCCAACCAATGAGCAAAGCAGCGGACTGGAATGACCTTAAAGTGAAAAAGTTGCCCTTCGGCTAGTTTTTTCGCCGCCCTATGGCCTGGCTTCCTTGGGTAAAGATTCTCAAGAATCCAAATGGGTTGACCCTCAGTCGTGAGAGGCTCAGCGAGAGGCTCCGAGAGTGCATGTTCACCAAAGGCTTCGTCTTCTGTTTCATGCATGGCCGGGCGTCATATCAAAGGTGATTTTGGCAGAGGCTCTCTTGCAAACGTCCAACGTCTCCTTTTTCAACATGTTTCTGCATCACAGGGACGCCACATGGATACGGCAGTCCACTCCTCCAGCTGGGTGACGACAAATGCCGTGTGAAGAGTGGCAATTGCAGCTTTGGCCTCAAATCAGTATACATGTTTACACTCCCCCACACAGCCGCGTGTGTGTGTGTGTGTGTGTGTGTGTTGGGACATGTTTTGCCTAAAGCACGCGTGTTTGTGTTAGTTTTGAAACAGTTTATTTCAGGTCAAGGACAATGAAACACCGTTTCCACGAGTTTCAAGAGAGGAAACCACTTTTTCAAAAGCGCGTGCTCATGATCTTCGAAAGCGTGTGTGCGTGTGGTATCATCTTCCAAGCACATCCAGCCAAACGCAATTACACCCCCACCCAACATCATCTTCCAAGCATATCCAACACACCACCACCAACGAATCCAACAATCCGAAACATAAGGGAATTCCGGTGCAAACACGCAAAATGGAACTGCGAACAAGTACGAAGAAGAGGGTTGCCCTGATTCAACATAACAACATGCTGCTGTTTAAAGTGGTAACAGTAAAGGTGCCAACTTCCATGCCTATTGCAATGACGTTGGACAAACGCTTCGTGGCTTGATAAAAGTGCACGACTATTAGCGCGGTTGTCAAACCGGTAGCATTGAAATGCATATCATTCCCCCCCCCAGTGGCCCTGCGGAAATCAGAAAACATTGCAAATACCACACACAAATTTGGGAACAATTGCTGAAAAACGACAAAAGCGTACACCCAAAACATGAACATGCAAAAGCTGGAAAGGTGGTTCAAACGACACCTGCCTCACTCTACATACATACCTGATATGCAAGTTTCCTTGCAAGTTTCTACTGTGGAGGAGGGGTGGGGGCGGTGGTGGTGGCGGGATCGTTCATCTGAGAGGATTTTGCTGCATAAGTTATCGTGTTTGTTATCGTGCTGATACCCCCACATGATGCTCTAATTTTGGGCTTCATGCTTGACTCAAAGACCGCGACAGCAGCATACACACATCTTCTTCCCCGTCCACCCAAAGGAGGTTCAAGAAGTTACGCCCCTGTTAGCTTGTTCGTGCTTCACCCAACAGAATGCGAAAACATGAACTGCGATTTCTCTAGTTTAGTGCAAAAATGTATATCCGCCGGCCCCTGCTTTGGCGAAGGCAGGGGGGGCCTGGGACCACCGAAGGTGTGGAACCTGAGCTCTCCAAATCCTTGCTCGAAATCTGGCTGTTGGAGCTGCCAGCTTCTGGATTCTGGACGCTTCAAACGCTCCAAAACTTCGCACTTGCCAAACTGTGGGCGCAGTTGCCAGACGGTGGGCTCTGGGCTCTGGCGCGCCAAATCCTTTTTTTCTAATGGCCCGAAACAGCCCTTCCAACCCCTCAAACCCCCCCGAAACTTGCCCTCAAACCCCCCGAACCTTGCCAATGGTTCTGCCATACTGGCAGTTGGAGCAGCCAGCTTCTGGATTCTGAACGCTTCAGACGCTCCAAAACCCTGGGCTCTGTCCCAGACTGTGGGCGCAGTTGCGCAGACTGCGGGCTCTGGCGCGCCAAACCCTTTTTTCCTAGTGGCCCGAAACTGCCCTTCAAACCCCTTAAACGCCTCAAACCCCTCAAACCCCCCGAAACTTGCCAATGGTTCTGCCATACTGGCAGTTGGAGCAGCCAGCTTCTGGATTCTGGACGCTTCAGGCCCTCCAAAACCTCGCACTTGCTAGACTGTGGGCTCTGGGCTCTGTCCCAGACTGTGGGCGCAGTTGCGCAGACTGCGGGCACTGGGCTCTGGCGCGCCAAATTCTTTTTTCCTAGTGGCCCGAAACTGCCCTTCAAACCCCTTAAACGCCTCAAACCCCTCAAACCCCCCGAAACTTGCAAATGGTTCTGCCATACTGGTAGTTGGAGCAGCCAGCTTCTGGATTCTGGACGCTTCAGACGCTCCAAAACCTCGCACTTGACTGTGGGCTCTGGGCTCTGTGCGCAGTTGCGCAGACTGCGGGCTCTGGGCTCTGGCGCGCCAAATCCCTTTTTTCTAGTGGCCCGAAACTGCCCTTCAAACCCCTTCAACGCCTCAAACCCCTCAAACCCCCCGAAACTTGCCAATGGTTCTGCCATACTGGAAGTTGGAGCAGCCAGCTTCTGGATTCTGGACGCTTCAAACGCTCCAAAGCCAAGGCCTCGCATTTGCTAGACTGTGGGCTCTGGGCTCTGTGCCAGACTGTGGGCGCAGTTGCGTAGACTGCGGGCTCTGGGCTCTGGCGCGCCAAATCCTTTTTTTCTAGTGGCCCGAAACTGTCCTTCAAACCCCTTAAACGCCTCAAACCCCCGAAACTTGCCCATGGTGCTGCCATACTGGCAGTTGGAGCAGCCAGCTTCTGGATTCTGGACGCTTCAGACGCTCCAAAACCTCGCACTTGACTGTGGGCTCTGGGCTCTGTGCCAGACTGTGGGCGCAGTTGCGCAGACTGCGGGCTCTGGGCTCTGGCGCGCCAAATCCTTTTTT